GCAAATGGTACTCAAATTAATACTTACGGTTCTAAAACTTTAATTTTGAACCTCGGTTTAAGGAGAGAATTCAAATGGAAATTTTGTGTCGCGGATATTCAACGTCCTATTTTAGGCGCCGATTTCCTTTGTCATTTTAATCTCCTAATTGACATTAAAAACAAGAAATTGATTGATAATGTTACCGGTCTTATGAATACTGGGAAAATTCAAGAAGTTGCACATTTGTCAATTTTTACCACATCTCCTGATTCTGTGTACCACAAATTTTTAACCGAATTTCCAGGACTCACCCGTTTTTCTCCAATTTCCTCGGTAAAAACACATGGTGTTGAACATCATATCGTTACGGAAGGTTCTCCTAAATTTTCGACTCCCAGAAGACTTACTCCTGAGAAACTTAAATGTGCCAAGGAAGAATTCAAGTCTATGATGGAGCAAGGAATTTGCAGGCCTTCAAGCAGCTCCTGGGCAGCCCCTCTACATATGGTACCTAAAAAGGAACAAAATTCTTGGAGACTGTGTGGTGATTATCGTGCACTCAATTCAGTGACTATCCCGGATCATTATCCCTTACCTCATATTCAAGATTTTTCTTCTTCACTTTTTGGTAAGAATATCTTTTCTAAAATCGACTTAGTTAAAGCGTACTATCAAGTACCCGTCGCTAAAGAAGATATTCACAAAACAGCTGTCACTACTCCATTTGGGCTTTTTGAATTTGTCGTAATGCCTTTCGGTTTACGAAACGCAGCCCAAACTTTTCAACGGCTCATGAACTCTTTACTTAATGATTTGAGTTTTGTCTTTTGTTATCTTGATGACATTCTTATTGCTTCTAAAGATGAGAAAGAACATTTTGCTCACTTACGCATTATTTTTGATCGTCTTCAACAAGCTGGAATGACAATCAATGTCGCTAAATGTCTTTTCGGTCAAAGCGAGATTTCTTTTCTTGGTTACTTAGTTTCTAACCAAGGAGTTAAACCTACATCCGAAAAAGTGAAATCAATTATTGATTATCCTAAACCTAAGACACTTCATGAATTACGCAGATTCTTAGGAATTATCAATTATTATCGTCGCTGTCTCAAGGATGCTGCAAATCATCAAGCTCTGTTAACAGAATATTTAAAGGACAGTCGCAAGAGGGATAGAAGAATTATTTCTTGGACTAAAGAAGCGGAATTAGCTTTCGAGTCATGTAAAGAAGAACTTTTACAAGTTACTACCCTTTCTCATCCTGCTCCTCATGCTCCTCTTATTTTAACTTGTGATGCTTCTGACTTTGCTGTTGGTGCATCACTTGAACAGTCTATTGACGACGATATCAAACCAATAGCATTTTTCTCAAAGAAACTAGACAAAGCTCAAAGAAATTATAGCACTTATGATAGAGAACTTCTTAGCATTTATTTGGCTATTAAACATTTCAGGCATTTTGTTGAAGGAAGACAATTGATTATCAGAACTGATCATAAACCTTTGATTTTTGCTTTCCGTCAGAAATTGGATAAAGCGTCACCAAGACAGATCAGACAATTGGACTTTATTGCTCAATTCTCTACAAATATTACCTATATTTCTGGAAAAATGAATTCAGTTGCTGATGCTCTGTCAAGAATTGAATCTATTTCAATGCCTATTATAGTTTCTTTAGAAGAACTTGCTAATTATCAGAAAGAAGATGAAGAACTTCAAGTTTTACTTTCTTCAAATTCTTCACTTCTGTTGAAGAAACTTATTCTTTCAGGATCAACCATACCTATTTATTGTGATTGCTCTTCGGAATTAATTCGTCCATATGTTTCTAAACTCTTACGCAAGAAAATTTTTGATGTTGTTCATGGACTCGCTCACCCCAGCGGCAGATTGACATCTAAACAATTACTACTGAAATTCATTTGGCCTTCTTTGAAGAAAGATGTGAAGGAATGGACTCGAACTTGTCTTCCATGTCAACGTGCGAAGATTTCAAGACACACCAAGAATTCTCCAATTAAGATTGCAATTCCTGATCAACGCTTTCAGCATGTGCATTTAGACATTGTTGGACCACTTCCTATTTGTCAAAATTACCGTTATTGTCTTACTATGATTGATCGTTTTTCCAGATGGCCTGAAGCTGTTCCTATTTCTGAGATTTCTGCTGAAACTATTTCTACAACATTTTATTCACATTGGGTAGCACGTTTTGGTTCTCCTATCAGCATTACAACAGATCAAGGTCCTCAGTTTGAAGCAGCTTTATTCAAAGCTTTAACAAACCTAATTGGATGCCAAAGGATTAGAACTTCTGCTTATCATCCTGCTTCAAATGGAATTCTGGAAAGATGGCATAGGACTTTGAAAGCAGCGATTATGTGCCACGAAACAACCAACTGGGTAGAATCTTTACCTTCAGTTCTTTTGGGATTACGTTCGTGTTTCAAAGAAGATTTAAAAGCTTCACCTGCAGAACTTCTTTATGGATCCACTCTTCGTATTCCTGGAGAATTTTTTATTGAAGAAGATTTTCCTGCAGATCCTGAAATCTTTCTTGAAAAACACAGGATTCATATGAGGAATATCAGATCATCTCCTACAAGTCATCATTGCAAAAGATCACCTTTTGTTCACAAGAATCTTTTTGATTGTACTCATGTTTGGATTAGAGAAGATACTGTTAGGAAGTCACTACAACCTCCTTATTCTGGCCCTTTTCCTATTGAGAAACGTATCTCTGATCATTTATTTGCAGTTAATGTTTCAGGAAGAGTTGTCAATATTTCGACAGAACGTCTCAAGCCAGCCTTCATTCCTAGAACTTCAGATTCTACTGAACTTTCTACCAGATCTTCAGCTCCTGTTCCTGCTATTTCAACTCCTGTTCCTGCTATTTCAACTCCTGTTCCTACTACTTCAGCTCCTGTTTCTGCTACTTCAAATCCTTCTTCTTCTTCTACTGTTGGAAAAGCTTTACGCACCTACCCACCAAAGAAGAAGAAAGTCCATTTCGCAACGAATATCGTCACTTGGGGGGGAGTACTGTAGCATTCATCATCCACACCTTTCATTTACACTCTACACTTTTATTACACCTTACACTTTTCACTGCACTTTTACACTTTTTACATCTTTGTACATTTGTAATAACTTCAATTCATTAATATACATAATGTTTTTAAGAAAAATCAATATTTCCATAACAACATATTCATTCATTTATTTGTTACATATTAATTCTTTTTGTTCTTTCGCTTTATACTTTCAATGAATAAACATTACTTTTTCAAAGATCTGGTGAATTTATTTATAAGTCGCTACATATATATACATACATACAGGGTGTTTCATTTTAATTTCCCCAGACAAATATTTCGGAAAATAATAAAAAATTGAAAAAATGTTTGAGACAAAAGTTGTATGATTTCTAGGGGGACATAAGATGGTGTTATTAATTTGACCTTGAAAAGTTACATGAAAGTTACGTGAAGATCATTTTGAATTTCTTAAATGGAATACCCTATATATTTTTGCATATTCCTGTAGCTTATGTTGAAAGCTTTCCAAAACACTATAAATAAATATTTTTCATCAAGTACTTTTCGAGTTATAAGGTTTGAAGTTGACAATTTTTTTACATAAAATGTAAAATATCTTGTAAAACATTTAGTTTTCGCTAATCTTACCTTAACACTTTTATGCACAAAATAATGAGACCAAATAATATTTAAAAAAGTATGTAATATGCAACAATGCAACTGCATACTTATTTACTTTAAAAGCAACTATTTGTTTTGTTTATACCAATTAATTGATCTCATTATTTTGTGCATAAAAGTATCAAGATAAGATTATCGAAAACTAAATGTTTTACAAGATATTTTACATTTTATGTTAAAAATTGTTAATTTCAAACCTTTATAATTCAAAAAGTACTTGATGAAAAAATATTTATTTATAGTGTTTTCGAAAGCTTTTAACATAAGCTACAAGAATCAAGAATATGCAAAAATATATAGGGTATTCCATTTAAGTAATTCAAAATGATCTTCACGTAACTTTCATGTAAATTTTGAAGGTCAAACTAATAGCACCATCGTATGTCCCCCTAGAAACCGTACAACTTTTGTCTCAAACATTTTTTCGATTTTTTATTATTTTCCGAAATATTTGCCTGGAGAAATTAAAATGAAACACCCTGTATATATATTAATATATATAATTAACACGAGTTATTGTATCTTGTATTAGTGGAAGAGATGTGTAATAATTAATAATTAAAAGTTAAGCAATATTTAGGAAGACCGAGATTGTTTCCTTGTGAAATTACACACAATAAATTTTGTCCTCCTTTACATTGTTAGAAAATGTTTGAAGCGCTATCATTTCCCCACCACCTTGCGGTAGATAGCATGGTGCGCTTTTTTTATAGTGGTTTCCCCAATAGGCCTAATCCACTATTTTTATGTAATGCATGAAGCAAAAGTTGTTGCATAAGCTGTAATTTATGAACAATTGATTTTATTAATAAATATATTAAAACTGTAAATATTAATATAACTGTTATATACTTAACACAACTGTTATATACTTAGCATTTACTTAATAATGTTATTTTATTATAATTATGTAATGAAATGTTTTTTTTACGTAGGACACATTCAAGAAATATAAATTTTTCTTACTATAAAAATGATAACTACATAACTTATTTTAATAAATACATTTTTATTAAATTAATATGACTATATAATTCATTCGTGTTATGTACGTAACTACGGTGGTGTGCTAAAGGATTCTCTAGACGTAAATCAGTATTACTGGATATCAGCTTTATTCTACCTCTTACAAGATACTGGCCGTCGGGTCCGCGGCCTGTGCTACGGGCGGCTGCCCTTAACGGCTCCCCCCCCATGCTCCACTCTGACGCCGCCTCTCCGGCCGCGTCACGTCTCTCTCACTCATACTCAACATGCTCGAGCGTCCATACACCACAACTCTCCCTCGCTTTTCATCTAGGGCTTATCAAGGCGCGGAGATCTACGCAAAACCTTGTCGTTAGGCTTACCCTTAACAATTTGATCTACATGTCTTTTTTTCACTACTTCATTTTTTGTTAGCACCGCGTACGTCGATGGCGAAGTCTTTTTTACAATTTTACCGAGGCCGCGCTTTTCAGTATTCCTACCATATTCGTTAATAAGCACATCGTCGTCGACCTGTAGATCAATTTGTCGTCCGCCCTTTCTGCCTACGATTTGTGCGCGCTGTCTATCGTCTACCGCGCTCAATACATTCGGTTTCAGTAGATCAAATCGCGTCCTCAACTCCCGATTGTACATTAGAAACGCTGGGCTTCTTCTGGTAGTGCAGTGCTCAATACTGCGGTAGTCAAACAGGAACATGTAAACCGCTGTATCTAATCTCTCTCCTCCTTTAATAATTTTATGGACCTTGTCCTTAAACGTCTGAATGAAATTTTCCGCGGCTCCGTTTGTTGCTGGGTGGTACGGCGGTGAATACGTATGTTTTACTCCGTTTCGAGTCAAAAACTCGTGAAATTCTTCGCTTCTGAATTGAGGTCCTCCATCCGTTACACAATGCAATGGTAATCCGTACCGCGCAAATAAACCTTTAAAAATCTCTATTAGTTTGTACGCTTTTGTATTATTTTGAAAATTTATGATTTCGGGCCATTTAGAGTGCGCGTCTACGATTATAAGGTACATGTTTCCGTAAAATTTTGCGAAATCGCAATGTATACGGCTCCATGCCTTGGTAGGCCAAGGCCATGTAGTCAAAGGTGTATTCGGCGGCTTTTTTCGTTCAATCAAGCAAATTTTGCATTCTTTTACCAACGATTCAATATCTGAGTTAATTGTTGGCCACCAAACATAAGACCGAGCAAGCATTTTGATTTTTACGATACCCAAATGAGTAGCGTGTAACTCATTTAATATCAGTTTTTGCATATCTGTTGGAATGGCCGCTCTTAAGCCCCAAAATAAACACCCTTTATCGACTGTTAATTCCGATCTCTTTGAATAAAAACATTTGTTTGCATCCGCTAAGTCTTTCTCATTTGGCCAATCGCTCATTACATACTTAATTATTTGACTTATTGATTTATCTTTCTTGCTTTCTTCAGCTAGCATTTTATAATCTAGCGTTTTCATACCTTCTTCAAAAAAATTAACGTACGAAAATTCTGTTTCCAGTTCGCGAAAAATTTGGTCGCTTTCAGCATCTGCAATCGGTAATCTCGATAACGCATCGCAATTTGCGTTCGCTTTTGAATTTACATGTTCGATTGTGTAACGAAAACCTGATAAGTAATATGTGTATCTCTGAAGACGATTGTCGGCCGTAACTGGGATACCTTTTCTTGGTCCTAATATATATTGCAACGCTTTATTATCTGTTCTCAAAATAATCGTTTTACCGAACACATATTGAAAAAATCTCTTGAAACCGAAAACTATTGCCATTGCTTCCTTGTCTAAAATTGTACGATTCAATTCTTTTTTTGCTATGCGCTTGGAGGCAAAAGCTATTGGTCTTTCTGAACCGTCCGCGTATCTATGAGAAAGTATAGCGCTAATTCCATAATCCGATGCATCGCATGCTAACAGTAATTTTTCTTTCTGGTCATAATGCGCTAATACTCTGGGAGAAATTAATTCGTTCTTGACCCATTCAAATGCCTTATCACACTCAGCATTCCAATTAAATTTAACACTATTTTGTAAATCGTACAGCGGTTTCAGGTTTAGCGACCTGTTACTCAAAAATCTATCATAAAAAACTGCAAGGCCCAAAAACGAACTAAGTTCCTTCTGATTTGACGGTTTAGGTGCGTTAACAATAGCGTCTACTTTAGATTTTGCTTTATGCAATCCATTTCTGTCGATTACGAAACCTAAAATTTCAATTTTGTTCTGAAAAAATTTACTTTTGTGTTTGTTCACTCTTAAGCCGCATTCTTGTAAGCGTTTGCATACTAATAGCAAATTTGCCATATGCTCTTCTTCCGTTTTTCCCGTGACATAAACATTATCGATATATGTAATTACGCTATTAATCCCTCTCAGACATTCATCCATTTTTCTTTGTACATCTGCCGGCGCGGGTGATACGCCTTCTGGAATATTCTTGTATCTAAAAAGACCTTTGTGTGTTATTATCGTGAGGTATTGTCTACATTCCTCGGCAACTGGGAATTGCATGTACGCGTGCTTTAAATCTAACTCTGAAAATAATGCGCCTCCTTGTAGACTTGAAAAAATCTCATCTATCGTATGCAGCGGGTACTTATCCATAATCAAAAATGGATTCAGTGTGAGCTTAAAGTTTCCGCATAGCCTAATACTGTTATTACTTTTGAAGACTGGGATGATCGGGGTTGCCCATTCGCTAATTTCTACTGGCTCAATATGTCCGAGCTCTAATAGTCTATCAAGTTCGTTCTCAACTAGGGGCTTTAACGCATGCGCTACGCTATTACATTTCAACGCTACGGGGTGCGCGCCCTCTCTCAAGTGCAGCTTTGTTTTACTTTTATTGTATTGACCTGGCGTGTCGCTAAATAATAACTGAAACTTTTCGAAAAGAATTTTTGATACGTTCTCTACTTCAATTTTGTTTAATTTAACTCCAAAATTTTCATTTAATTTTAAAGGCCACAATCCCAATTTGTTTAACCATTGTCTCCCGATTAAAGTCGGTCCTGAGCCTTCCAAAACAAACAAATCAGCTCTATCTTTTTTTCCGTTGAATTCTATTTGTACGTTTACTACTTTTCCGACTGGGTTCAAAATACTGTTATCGTACGTTCTTAATCTGTTAGCGGTTTTTTCAATTTTAAGTCCTTTGAAAAATTTGTCATATCCTAACTCCGACGTTACTGTCGCAAACGTTCCGGTGTCAATCTCCATGCGTATTTGTTTACTATTCACGCGTACGTCCAAGAACATAGGCTCCGCATCGCCTTTGCTACCTTCATACCACACACAATCCTTGTTAACACGACTCTCGATCTTCATCTTGAAGAAATTGTTCCTATGTGTTGACTCCTCTGCCGTCGTTGTTGACTCCTGCCGCTCGTCGTCCTCTAGTAGTTTCACCTGATGTTGATCCTGACCGTTGTCCTTCCTCCTGCATGCCCTCTGTAAGTGACCCTTCCTGCCACAATCGCGACACTTGTAGTCCCGGAAACGACATTCCTTGCTGATGTGGTTTCTTCTACCACAACAATAACAGACTATGTTGTCACTTTGGTCTCTCCACTGCTGTGTATTATTCCCCTCTGCATTCCTGCGCTTATTATATTCGTGACCCTCGGCTTTCTTATCCCATTTCAATACTTTATTTGCGCTCCGTAGTGAGAAAACATCACTTTTTTCTGTTTTATGTTCCAATACATTTAAGGAATTTGATGCATTCTTTTCTGCCGCTTCTCTGGCGACCGCTTCTTTCACCGCATTGTCGTAGTCTAAGTTTTCCATTTTGAACAGCGCAATTTTTGTATTATAGCTTCTTAGACCACATACAAATTGATCTCTGAGTGCCATTTTTATGTCAGCAAAATTACAATATAAACTTAATTTTTTTAATTTTGCCGTGAAGTCGGCAACGCTTTCATTGGTTTCTTGTTTTGCCAAATTAAACTTACACCGTTCCATGACCTCTGACGGCTTTGGCGCAAGGTAATCACTCATTGTTTTAATTAGGTCTGCATATGTCTTAGTTGCCACCCGGTCTGGTGCTACCAACTGCTTGACCAACTTGAAAGCATCTTCATCCAGTCTTGTCAACAACTGTGCTGCCTTCTTCTCTGCTTTGACGTCGTGCGCGATGAAATACATTTCGAGGCGTTCCACGTACGTCTCCCAATCATCCTTATTCAATGTGAAATTTAGTTTCACTCCGTCCGACATGGCTATAACCGCACTATCTTTGCTAGCCCCGCTCGAACTATCGCTGGGAATGTCGCGAGCGTCTTGCTGTGCTTCGACTTTCTTTTCACTGTTGCCGTCTTCCTCACTTTTTTCACTAGCTTTGCGTAACTCTTTCTTGACTATGTTACGCAACGATTCGCGCAAGTCGTTGAAATTTGTACTTCCTTCCAACACTATGCCGCGTTTCCCCAATTCTTCTATCAAGGCCTCCTTGTTCAGGGTTTGGATCCACGAGGTACCTTCTTTGTTCGACATCCACTAGCTGTCTGAAGACTGTAGTTCCTTTTTTTGCTGTGCACTGCGTTCGATTCTTTGCACTACTCGTCGCCAAGTTGTTATGTACGTAACTACGGTGGTGTGCTAAAGGATTCTCTAGACGTAAATCAGTATTACTGGATATCAGCTTTATTCTACCCCTTACAAGATACTGGCCGTCGGGCCCGCGGCCTGTGCTACGGGCGGCTGCCCTTAACGGCTCCCCCCCCATGCTCCACTCTGACGCCGCCTCTCCGGCCGCGTCACGTCTCTCTCACTCATACTCAACATGCTCGAGCGTCCATACATCACAATTGGCATATGAATAAACATGCAAAAAGATCGCAAATAGTTGAAACAATTGCATAAGAGATTGAGCACAATAAAATAGAAAATGGATAAAAAAATTTATCTATTCTGCGTTACTAAATTGCATTTCATGTTTGATATTGAACTATTCCTTATTTCCCGTTCTTATTTTCTGTTTTTTATACTCTTTTCCTTATTCTTTTTATTATGCGCAGATCCCAAATGTCAGACTATTAAGTCTTATCTAATCTACATTAAATCTACACTAATAATCTACACTAATAATCTACACTGCATGCTGTAGATTTCCTTTAAATAATTATATTATTCATATGCTTTTGGTGTCTCTTTTTCCCAACATGCGTGTGTATTTGAGAACATCTTTTTGTTATATAGTCTTCATCTGTTTTATTCTTATTTTGGTTGAATACATTTTATTATTTATATCGCTCATTTGTTGCAGCAATGACAACTCAAATATAAAAAATATTGTAGTTATGAGCACAGGGAAAAAGGTTGCTACATGTACTATTATTATATTAAATCGTCTCCTGAAAAATCACAATTTTGGAGTTATATATTATTGTTGTAGCAAATGTATATGTATTTATTAATTTTTCCTTATTCTCTCTAGAATATCATATGCCAATGATCATATTTTTATTGTTAAAATGTTCTTTAAATCTCATTACTATCATTACTTGTATCACATTATTGCTAATAATAAAAATGCTCATGATTTTATAAATTTCTTAGCATGATCGCATATTAAACCTTTTTTATTTAATATCCGTGATAGAACCTGGCAGTGTGTGATTTAGGCTAATGTTTCAACTGTTATTGCGATCTTCTACGAAATTGAAAAATTCCTACTTATTTTTTATCATTCAAAAATAATGTTTATTAAAAAGTTAAATTATTTGCAAATATTTAATATTGTATGCATTTGAGCGTTGCAATGCAATATCATGATACAAGTAAACATAACAAAAGAAAGGATTAATGTGTCTACGTACGTATGTAATTTCTTTGATTTGTCTTATTTTTTTTACCTTTTAGTTTACCTTTTAGTTTTTACCTTTTTTACCTTTTCCTATTATTTTTTCATCTTCTTTCTCTTTTTTCTTCTTTTTTAAATTCTGTTGCTTTCATTTTCTTTTTTAGGCCTATGGTAGAGAACTAAACGTAAGCGCTTACGCTTACGTTTGTATATATATATATATATATATATATATATATATATTCCTTTCTTAAATTTTTCCATTGAATAATTTTTACGCAATTGTTTTATTTGTTCGAAAAATTTTTAACTTTTCTGAGAGGTGCACCAGTTTTTTTTCCAGCACGATTATTGTATCTCGTGCGAGAGTATATTTTTACAAGAATCATATATCTTAATGTTTGCACTCGATGATTATAACACACATCATTAATATCAAACCATGTAGCATGCATTTTATTTGTTTCTTCTATACACTCCGCAACAATTTTATCCAGAATTTGTGTAGATGCCCAATAATGCTGCCATGTTTTATTAAATACTAATAACTGTATTCTCATTATGTTTATAAAATAATTTGTTGGGCGTACTAATTTTGTAATTGTCGGAGCGTCTTCATCATCATTCGGATATTCTCTAAATTGTATGTATTTCTCATTTGCTGTTAACTTGTCCATTGGCGTTTTCATCATAACATCGCGGCATTTTTCACAATTATTTTTTTGAAAACTTCGACGTGCCACAAATCCAGCGAAGAATGCTATTGCATTGTCATCGTAACTGCTATGTTGTTCATCATTTTCGATATTTTTGTAATCAAAATATTCTTCGACTATATTTGCATCCTCTGCAAGTAACTTATCGTTTTCATCAACATCATATTCTAGAGTTGTACTGCTGATTTCCATAACATTTTCTATAGCCTTAGTAAGTTTACTCGGTTCATTAATCAGAGTCTCTGTTTCTGGGCATTGTACATTGCCTTTGTCACTCGTTTGAATATATCCCGTGGAAAGTATGTGCCTGATGGAAAGTCGTATCATTCTTGCAGTCGGATTAGGATTAAATCCTCCGCGTTGTCGAAGTTTGGAAAATAAATGTTCCACGGAGTCTTGATTGCATAATCCTGTTGCTAATTCAAATTCTTCATTTTTACTTAAGAGTGCTTTATAAGTTGCAAGAATAGCTTTTATAGTTATAACAAAACCGTTGAAACAAGGTACTTTAGTTATTTTTTCTGGTGATTTTGACCATTTTAAACACCATTCTACAAATTCTGTTAATAAAATCTCAATATCTGGATTTTTAGGGGATAATGGTCGTTTTCCGCCAAATTTAACATTTAAACTGTATGAATTGCAAGCATCGATAATATCATTCATGCGTTCTGCAAAATCGGCTGTAGCTTGCCATGTATTTGTATTTAATTCTCCTGCATGGCCAGCTGTTCTTATCGCGGCTGCAAAAGTATGACTGAATAATTGGAATGCTCTTTTCACATTCATAGCTTCGAAACTATTTGGACGAATGTGCGCTTCTGTTATGTGTGACAATAAATTAGAACCTCCTTTTGTGGAATTGTCGATGGACCATGTCGTTTCAAAGTCGGAGTAGGAAGCAATTATATTTCCATCGCAATAGATGTTTTTATGCGTCCTCAGGAAACTTGCCAATCTTTTTACCAGATGCGGAAAATCAAAGGAAGCGTAATATTTTTTTTCTTTATATATGAAAAATTGCTCTGATGTATCAACACCGAGTTGAGCATAAGCACTTTGATTGCATGTGCCTTGATCACATGTCACAAGTTGCACATCAGCACCTGTTTCATATAATCTATCTAAACATTCTTTTAATAAAATAATTATTTCATTCGCCTTCATACATTTTCCTGGAAGAAAATATGCTATAGGTTGACGCCATGGGTGCCGTGCATTTAAACTATCTAAACAAAACACAAACACACATTTAGCTCTCTCTGATTTTCTACCTAGAGGTCCGAGATCTACAAGGCCTTCTATTTCATTTAACTTAGATGAATATTCCTCATACGATTTAATATACATTTCATCCCATTTCAAAGCACACACTCTTTCCTCCATTGGTAATTGAGTTATTTTTTCTTTTAATTTATTAAATATAAAATTGCAGAATCCTGGTTTTATGTCATATTCTTCTAACCATCTTCGTATTGTTCGCTGTCCAGGAAAATTGCAACCCGCTTTCTGTAAGCGACAAAATGCAGAGGGTGAATAATAATAAAGTTGCCTCGATAAATTTTTTTCTTCTTCTGTATATTTTGCATTTGGTGTATGTAACTGTAAATTTATCATAGCTTTTGCCACAGGGTGCAATTCTAGTTCATTTATCAATCTTTTTACTACCTTTTTTTTTGTTTATTTTCCTTTGGCTTTTTAGGTATACGTCTCATACGTAGCCGATATTTTAAACTTTTTATGTGTTTTTGCAACCGAGCATTTTCACGTTTTAAATTATTAATTATAATATGTAATTCATTATTCGTATTTTTTGTTTTATTGATTTTTTCTTTCTTTGGCAAATCAGGTTTATTAATAATTCTTTCATAGTTGGGCGGCTCTAGATGTATCCATTCTATGATATTTTCCTCTTCCGCTGGAATATCAAAACATAAATTTGATGGTCTATATGTTTTAAGTGATTGTTCTGCCGGTTGCTCATTCATCATTACGATATCTGAATTTATTGTACAACTGGTAGATGCAATAACTGGTGTGGCGTTTTTTTCGATTACTTCAACTCCTTGCTGTATGTCTACTTCTTGAGCTAGTCTATCTATTTCCATTTGTCTGCTTTTTTTTCGCTGTGCATAATTGTACTCACTTTCAAAATGGATTGGTACAGCATCCCGCTTCAATCTTCTTTTTGAACTATTTGTGAAGCAGTCATCATTAAAATGGTCCTCGCATAATCCTGCACATTTAAGGGACTCGGGAGACCATTTTTCCAATCTAGTATTTCCTGCAACAGAAATAGAAGAAAAACATTTTGTGTGTGTGTGTGTGTGTGTGTGTGTGTGTGTGTAGATGAGTGAGTGACTGAAAAAACATCATGTATTTCATATTTCTAATTAATTATGATAAAAAAAGAAGAAATAATTATAACTACAATTAATGCAATAATAACGAATATAAAAAAATATAAAAAACAAAATTGTGCATAATTATATTTAGACTGTGCTTTCTTCTTTTATATTTATTTTGTTTGATTTTATTTTAAATGTATTATTTATTATGTAAAAAACTAAAATTATTATATAAAAAAAATAAATATTCGGCAAATCTAATTTTTAAATATATATAAATCTGCAAAAAGAGTAAAAATATTTCTCTGTAAAAATATTTTATTTATATTTCGATCATTTTCTGCATTTAAATATAATGAGAAATATGCATATCCAACAATAAATATTTGCCGAATATTTATTTTTTTACATAATAAGTAATACATATAAAATAAAATAAAATAAATAAAAAAAGGCAGAGACCAAGTTTTGAAACCTGGGATCCCGAGATTACTACTCATGTCCTCTTCCGCTGCGCTAGCAGCACCGATCTAAAATGTTTCTTTCTTTAGGCCTTTTATAACGATTCTCTAAATTTCAAATATAAAAAAATATTGTTTTTACTTATAGAAATACTTTATTATAGAATTTTGGAAAGCTTTTGAGATAATCTACAAGAATGTGTAATGAAAAATAGGTAGTTCCATTTTAAAAATTGAAGGTGAACCTTTACATGACCTTCAATTGACTATCCAATGTCAAATCAATGGCACCATCTTATGTCCCCCTCTGAACCCTACAACTTTTGTACGAAACATTTTTTTCTATAACTTTGTGATTTCAAAATATTTGCCTGTTAAGATTAAAAAGACTCACCCTGTATATTCTCTTGTCATATTTAAATTAAATTTAAGATATATATATGGTTTCTTAAAACATTTTCCTATACGTGTAAAAAAATTATTAATTTTATTATTTAGAAAGTTATAAAAGCTGTATGATATTAAAGAGAATCCAAATAAATATTTTTCTTTACTTGCATAATATGTCATGGAGACATGTAACAAATATGTGCTTTAATCACATGTGCAAATATTATGGCAATGTCAAAGATAAAACTAATTTTTGAACAAGATTAAATTAAATAATAAATTCTAAAAGACTTTTCACAGTTAATTAGTTTTTTCACAATAATTGAATTTAATAAACCAAGTGTTTTTCAAAAAGAAAAGTTATATAACTGCATATAAATATATAAATTTATTCATATATTAATTAAAAATTTATATTTTTTATTTTAAAAACATTTTTACTTCTTCTAATATTAAAAAGAGGAACACTTTAGAAAATTGCAGTTTATGTAGAATTAAAAAATTAAACTTTTTTTCTATAACCCCGTGATTTCCAAATATTTGCCTCTTAAGATTAGAAAAACTCACCCTGTTATTAATGTTAGGGATATATATATACATATACAGTGGCATTACAAATAATTGAGATAAAAGGTATAGTTACAATACTTTATTATATTTCTGTATATCTTAAGTTTACAGATTCTGCACATATATATATATAAAAATTAAATATTTTTTTAGAAATAATGAGTTTCATTTTCCTTAAGAAAAATGGAAAACAAATTAAATTTTTTTTCTAATTATAAAAAAATATTAATTCCGCCTCTGCCTCTGCCCCTTCTGCCTCTCTGCCTCTTCCTCTCCATCTTCCTGCTCTTCCTCCTCCTCTACCATGCATGTAGAATAGAAAATGTTGTAATTCTTCCGGCTGAAACATACAAAATGAAGAATATATTGATATGTATATTATCGATACACACACACACACACACACACACACACACACACACACACACACATACAGGGTGTTCAAAAAGTCCCGGACCGGTTGAATACTGAACTTGTAAAGTAGGCGTCGCACTGAAAAATGACCGTGATAAAAGTTGTAGGAATCCCTGGCTATCCGATGGTGACCTTGGCTGTGACCTTGTAATCTCAAGGTCATTTAAAGGTCAAGTCGATTTTTTAAATGGAACCCATATTTTTGACCCCGGAAACGAAAAGAGCGGAAAATTTCACGTTCAGATATGATTTCCGCTCTTTTCGTTTCCGGGGTCAAAAATATAGGGTTCCATTTAAAAAAATCGACTTGACCTTTAAATGACCTTGAAGGTCAAGGTCAAGGTCACAGCCAAGGTCACTATCGGATAGCCAGGGATTCCTACAACTTTTATCACGGTCATTTTTCAGTGCGACGCCTACTTTACAAGTTCAGTATTCAACCGGTCCGGGACTTTTTGAACACCCTGTATATATATATATAGACATAGAAATAATACAATTAATGAAACAATTTATATAAAAAAGTACTATGCTAATACAAATTTAAAATAAAATTACTTACAGTTAATGAAATAGATACAGTCGGCATCGTCGCCGTCATCGTCAATGGCATCGTCGGCATCGTCGCCATCGGCATCACCGTCGGCATTGGTATCGTTCCCGGCATCGTTCTCGGCATCGGCATCGGCATCGGCATTGCCGTTGTCGGCACCGGCATCGTCTCCGTCGGCATTGCCGTTGTCGGCACCGGCATGGTCGCCGTCGGCACCGGCATGGTCGCCGTCGGCACCGGCATCGTCTCCGTCGTCGTCGACACTGGCATGGCCCGCATCGTTATTGGCATCGTCGCCGTTGGCATCGACATCGGCATCGGCATCATCGTCGGCATTGCCGTTGTCGGCACCGGCATGGTCGCCGTCGGCACCGGCATGGTCGCCGTCGGCACCGGCATGGTCGCCGTCGGCACCAGCATTGTCTCCGTCGTCGTCGTCGTCGTCGGCACCGGCATAGTCGCCGTCGGCACCGGCATTGTCTCCGTCGTCGTCGTCGTGGTCGCCACCGGCATCGTCGCCGTCGTCAAGATCGTTTTCATAACGTTTTCTAGACAAAAAAAATAATATAAAATCGTTCTAATGTGTTATACAAAAATATGTTTTTATAAACTTACAGTAGTTCGGGACCTCTTCTCTCGTCAAGCGTTGAAGACGAACTGAAACTGATCATCACAATCGCACGCACACACACACGCGCATCGTTTTTTATTCGCACAGGATTCGCGAATCGTTCGGCGAGATCAGAAAAACGCGGCAAAAAAACACTTCAACGTAATCCATACGTAAACATACATAATATCTGACATATTTTATTAAAAAAAACAAAGAATATATATATATATATATATATATATATATTTGTTTCATATATCATATCAATATATATTATATATTGATATAAATAAGTAAATCAATTTTATAAACTCACCACTATTGCGTAACCATAAATCATGTCTCGCACCCGTTTGTAATGGAAATCGAAATAAACGTTTTCCATCTTTTGTCCTAATATTTGTGCAATTTAAATACACACATTTATCGTAAAACCGGTGTTTACTCGACATTGTAAAATAAAAATAATAATTAGCACCAACACCAAAAAAAAAAGAAAATTAAAAAATGCGAAATTAAAGAAAACAGGACACTAACAAATAAACAACTAACACTAAAATAATCTTAATTAAAAAACTAATTATAGTTAAAATTAATATGAAAGAAACAAATATACTAAACACGCGTACACAACACGTAAAATTTATTTATTTCAAGGAAAAACAGCGAAAAAAAGCGATCTCTATCGTATTATAACTCTGAGCGTATTATGCGATGCAATCTGTGGCACAGCGAGTGGACTGATTGTCGTATACAGATTGCAAGAAACATTTGAACTAAAAAAATTTAATATCTAAATTATGTGTGTGGGCGTTTGCATTAATAATTAAATTCCTTGCAGAATTAAAAAATAATTTATTTTGTTCCATTACAAAAAAAATTATCAAATAATGATATATTGATTATTCTTACACATAATAACTTATTTGAAAAAAGTGAAAAAAAAAATCTGAAAAAGGCAGGGGTTTGAACTTGAAATGTCCACGATTTCAGCTCGTCATCTTAGTCGCTCGGCTACGCATGCTACTTGACGTTCTTTTATACCGGCATGATACATTAGGCATGGAAACTTTAAATAATTGTACATTATTGCACGTTGACATTGCACTTCATATTAATAGAAGCGGCGATAAATATTAAATATAATATAATATATATTAAAAATTACATTCCAAAATCCAAGTGGTCGAACAATTAATCGTTCTTTTTATTTTAATTAAAATAAGATTTATATATTTCATTACACATATATATATATATATATTTTAATAATTATATTTTAGTTTTTATACAAATTATATAAATATATATATATATATATATATATATATATAAGAGAAAAGATCGCACATATACAGAATGAATACGTGATACTGAGTTAACACGAAAATTATGGGCGTAGCACGGACTCGCACCAAATACAAACTTTATCGACCTTGCCAGAAAATGGGTGTGCAGTTAGTTCCGATATTGAAAACGGGTGCGAGGGGCGCTTCAAGCAGTCCCGTAAAAACGGTAACAGCCAAAACGCCGGCCTGGCCGCTCTCATCTTTCTCTCTGGCGACACATGCTGTGTGCCGGTTTTGTATGCAGGTTATATAGCCTTGAATTGCGCGGTACTAATATTAGTTTTGATGAAAATATTTCATTATTTTTGGTATTTTTAGCTTTTTACTTTAGCCAAACTATGTTTTCTTTACTCAAATTGAAACATACTAAAACATTAATAGTTGTGAAATCTACTAGTCTAATTAAAAAGAAAAAAGATTATTTGATAAAATTAGACAATGGAAACGATGGGTTGGAATATTTCTTTGTAAATCGGGTAAGTAAAATAAACTGATTGTGACCTAAAAAAGTTAAATGTTTCTTTCCGTTCTCGAGATATTATGTTTTAAAGTCTTCCAAGACACTTGCATAATGGCAGCTTTCAGGACAATAGTGATTTCCAGGACTGCCCTGGAATAATTCTATGTATAATGGTGTATTCCAGGATTTGAAAAATAAAATATTATTTAAAATTTTTGGATGTTTAGAACATTATAATAAATATAAATAATAATAAAAAATACAAGAAATTGCAATCATATCCAATTGGTTCAAATGAAAAAATATTTAACAAATGTTACGGAAAAAATGCAATTAATTTTAGTTATTTTCAGATGAAAGACACACTCTTATAGAAATAAAAAAGAACATAGATACCAACTCACCAAAAATTCTAATAAAGGATGTTAACAAAGGGTCAAGTGACCAATGTGAAAATAATGAAACTACTGGTAATTTTTATATACTGATTTTTTTTATAATTATAATTATTGCCTATTATACTGCATAAATTATATGTGAAAGATCAAATTCTTTAATATTGTTACTTTTAGTATTTAAATACTGAAGTTTCAATATTCTAGCACTGTGCTGTAAGAGAATCTTTGTCGAAAGTATATATCTTAAAATATATCTTATCAGACCTCTATTCTAATATTAAGTAAATCAAATGATACAATAATTTAAGCATTTAATAGAATCTTAATTTAATTTTAATAAAATAAATTTAATTTTAAATAATAAAAATGTATTGCGTGTGAAGAAACATAGAAATGATACTAACGCTATACTAATTATAAGTAATTTCTATACTAATAATTTGTAACAATCTTCAGAATTGCTTCACAAAGTAAATTTAAGAATGCACAGTTTAACATTGTAGATGCAGTTGGTTCACTGATGCAATTTAGAAGAGCAGTGAAAGATATAATAAATTGGATATATGTATCATTAACAAATTATGAAGTATGTAATAAGATAACATAAAGTAAAGTAATTTAATTTATTTCAATAAAAATATATTTAAAAAATGTGTATTATGTTATAATATTATTAAAAAATTGTTATAAATAATGAACTGCTATTCTACCCAGATAGCACAATAGTTTGCAAAGAGTTCAAAAGAGTTCGCAAAGAATTTATTGAAGCTTCACTAAATTCTTTGCGAACTCTTTTGAACTCTGCGAACTATTGTGATATCTGGGTAGCATTACGCAGTAATGAAATCTTTGTCGAAAGCAATTTTTAATGGACACAAACAACAATAAAAGCCATACGTGTAAATTATATTATTAAGAGTAATATTTACAAAGATGTTTTTGAATTATTTGCAGGTAATGAGCCAATTAATATAACAAATAATGACAAATGTGCTTCCAATGCAGACACAATAAATCAATTTCATATTCAACATGAGGAATCAAATACTATAGTAAACTCATATTTAGATTTGGATGTGAAGTCCGATTTTCACAATGATAAATTACAGAGCAATGTTATAACTAATGAAAATTTACAAAGTCATACATTAGATAAAACTAAATCTTCTAAAACCTATCCTCGAATTATAGAAGACAAGAAATGCAAAATAAATATGACTATTTTATCAAAAAGTAGTGACACAACAGCAAATAGTTCATGTAATACATCTATTCTGGGGAATTTGGAACTTTCTGATGTAAATCTTTCTGATGTAAATGTTTCTGATATGAATGGAATAGACATAAATAATTTTGAAAATTGTGGTACAAATTTAAATAATAATAATGGAGAAGAAATGATTCACGAAGTACTAGCTGAAAATAAATCCACGTTTACATCTATCACTGAAAATACTGAACTGGACAGCACTATAGTACCATTTTGTGATTTAAACGGAGTTAAGAATTCTTCTATAAACAACGATATAAATAACAATGACAATAAATTATATTGCAGTAACTCACAAATTGAAAATGTCTCGCAAAATACAGGTATGTATATTTTTATTAATTTGTTCCTTTAAAAAGTATTTAATTATGTTCGCAATATTGGTTTCGCTAAAGACAGTATATTTACAGTATATTTAAAAAGAACAATATTATAAAAGTTAAATTTAGATTTGTTATTAAGCTTAAATAAAATATTTAATAATTTTTATCCATCAAATTATTACGTAGGGTAATATAAACTAATACTAATTTAATAACTAAAAATATAATATAAACTAATTTTTAATTTTTTTTCTTCGCTCACAATAATAAAAAAGTAACAGTTTACGTAGTTAAGCGTCGTTTACAATGAGATTTTAAAACGTAAGACGTAAGAAATTGAACAATCACAGACAAGATTAGAGAAGAATAATCTCTCTTCGACTGTATTAGTCAATTTCTTAAGTCTTACGTCTAAAAATCTCATTGTAGACGACGCGTTACATATCGTTTATAAATTCTTTTGAATTAAGCTAACTTAATGTAAATAATGTGGTATACTTTTTAAATATAATTTAACTTTAATTTGTTATTTTTAAAAATTAAATTCATTAAGTATTAACTTATTAAATTGTCAATAAATAAAATTTATTAATTTTACTCAATTATTTTCTTTACTTAGCATTTCTATAATTTGATAGAATAATTTGATAAAAATAAAGCATAATATTTTTAACATTCATATATTTTTAAAATAAAATCTTTTAAAATGTTTATTATTTCAGATTTTGAGAAAAATAAAATTTCTAATGTAAGCGATAAAGATTCAGATTATGAACCATCTATTCAGAGTTCAAATGATACTGATATTGAACATACTGATATTGAAATAAATGATGATTTAGAAATTGCAAATAATGAATTTAGCATATTAACAAATTCTTCAGAAAATGCAAACGAAAAAAATATGTTAGAAAAAGAAATAGAAACATGCAAAGATGATGAATTATTTGTAGAATTGTCTCAAGGGCCCAAAGGAGATAAAAAATATAATTTTTGCTTTTACTGCAATACTATGCAAAGTAAAATTGCTCGGCACCTAGAATTAAAACATAAAAATGAAGAAGAAGTAAAAATGTTTTTATTACTTCCAAAAAAATCTAGAGAGCGAAGAAATGCAATTAGTCAAATAAGAAAAAGAGGCAATTTTAAATATAATACACAGGCAGATTTAAATAACGGTTCCATGATTGTTGTAAGAAGACCTACTAAAGAAGAGAAGCAATGTGGTTCTTATTTTTTACCATGTTCTAAGTGTAGAGGACATTATGCAATACATAATCTCAGGCATCATTATCGCATTTGTGCTAAGAAGAAAGATACAACTCGAAATGTATTAAAATTAGCACGAAGCGCTGCACAATCTGTTCATAATCGTGCAAGCCATAAATTAAGAAAGGACATTCTTCCTGTCATGCGAAATGACAATATTTATAAATTAATAAAGTACGATTTATTAATTATACTATACGGAAATTACCTCTGTCAAATTCATAAATTGCAGCATTTAGGAGACCACATACGACAACAATTACGACTTCTTGGACGATATTTAGAAGTATTAAAATCAATAGAACCGGCAATACAAGAATTACAAATGCTATTTGACCCGAAATATTATGATATTGCTATAAAAGCAGTAAATATAATTGCTAAATATAATGAAGACACAGAATCATATGATATACCATATAATGCTACAGCTATGGGCACATGTTTAAAAAAATTATGTAAGATCTTAATCAACGAATTTATTAAACAACATGAATACGAAAAACAAAAATCAGCAAAAAATTTTCTAAAGATTTTAGAAGTCGAATATGGTAGTACCGTTAATAAAACAGTTACAGAAATACAGACTAGAAACAGTCGAAAGAAAAAAGTTAATCTTCCGAAAACATCAGATATCAAAAAGTTAACCAATTATTTAGAAGAAATAAGAGTATCTAGCATGCGAGAAATAAAAAATAAATTCACGTTTTGTGCTTGGAAATCACTTGCTGAAGCAATATTAATAATGATTCAAATTTTCAATCGGCGACGTGCAGGAGAGATAGAAAGAGCTTACATTGTTGATTACAAAAATTTCATAAAAATTACAAAAGAGAATGAATTATATAAAAGGTTACCACAAAAAAAAAAATATCTGCTTTAAAGTACATTCGTTTCACAATTCGTGGCAAGCTAAATCGGAACGTCCCAGTCCTTTTGAATGCTAAAATGAAAGAGGCTTTAGACATAATTTTAAGATATCGGAAATTGGCAGGAGTAAGTTCAAAAAATCCATATATATTTGGATTGCCAGGTGCAGATAAAAAACGATTTAGATATTTAAAGCGAGTAAATTGATGCGTGAATTTGCTAATCTATGTGGAGCAGAGAACAAAGAAAGCTTACGTGGGACTATTTTACGGAAAGACATGGCAACAAAATGTTCACACTTACCAGATAGTGAAATTTCTCTCATTGCTGATTTTATGGGTCACCATAAGGATATACATAAAAATATTTACAGACAGCCTGTAGTAGAATCTGATATTTTAAATATGGCCAAAATTTTAGAGAAAACTCAAGATATATCTACACATAACACTGATATTGACACTACTAATAATACAAATACTAATACTACTAATTCAAACAGTACAACAGATGCTAATACTTCAGAGAATAGTATTAACGAAATTCAAAGCTTAGGTATTTTAAAAGTTCTTCAATTCTTTTATAATTTTAGAGAATACTTTTATAATATTATACTTATTGTTAGTAATTGTATTAGATTGTATCATATGGAATTGCTGATATTTGATAATTGGATTATTTCGTTCGATTTAAAAAGCTCGAATAAAAAAAGAAATATACAATTTAATATTAAGTAGACAGAAAAATATTATTGCTAATAATGTATATTTTGAGTGTATAAAATCTATTTCCTTAAAAGTACAACATTTTTATTTTGACACAAAAACGACAATTTCATATGATAATCTATCATATATATATAAATGAAAAAAGAAAATTTGTATTATATATTTTTTTACATAAAGTTTATTTTTAACAATATAGTTGAAGACGAAGCATCAGAGAATAATTTGCCAAAGAAAATTTTGCTAAAACAAAAAAATGTAAAAAAACGCGCCATAGAAAATATAAATAATTCAGATGAAGAATGTGCGCCAAAAAAGAAACGATTCAGTAAGTCAAATAATATTACAATTATACATGTATATAAAATCATTAAAGAAATGCATACCTTTTTCTTAATATTAAAATTACTTTTCTTAATTTGTGACGATATATTTATAGATTTAATTATAATTTATGTTTAGCACCTCCTTACGGAAAGACCAGAAGAATACGTTGGACTTCTGAAGAAAAGCAAACAGCTTTATTACTCTTCGAAACAAATATTAATAATTCTACTTTACCTTCGTTAAAGGAAATAATATCCAAAACGCGCAAAAACATTTTGAAAAATCGACAGCCAGCAGCAATAAAAACTTGGATACACAATCAATTTCGCAATAAAATATAAATGTCATTAAATAAAAGAAAATTAAAAGTCTTTAAGTCTTAATAAACATAAAATAACTTAACATAATAAAAATAATTGTGTACAATAAATAAATATAATTACAGAATTATATTTATTTACACAATTATTTTTATTATGTTAAGCTACTTTATGTTCATTAAGACTTAAAAACTTTTAATTTTCTTTTATACTTTATCACTTATACTGATATTACATCTAAATAATCTGTTTCTATGTTTTTTAGTATCGCTTTTTAGTATTTATTCAGTTTTGTTTATTTATATATAAATGTAATATCAGTATAACAGTAATAAACCCAATAAACACTGTTCTGTAACTTTTACAGATCATATACAAAACGGTTGTTCCCTGTTTTGGTAACCGTTATGTCAACTATTAAGTAACGTTTAGATGGAAATGTCAGCAACATTATGCCTGTATATGATATGTAATAGATACATAAAATTTAAACGTAATAGATACGTAAAATTTAGACATAAAATTACGTAACTATTACAGAACCTATCAAATATTATTTGTAACATTTACATAACATTTACAGAACATTTACAGAACCGATATTCTCTGTTCTGGTAACCATTATGTAACTTATAGGTAATGTTTAGGTCAAATGTTACGTATTGTATACAGCAACATTATGTTGTATGTAATATGTAACAAAATAACGTAACAAATACATAAAATTTAGGTATAAAATTATGTAACTATAACAGAACCTATTAAATATTATTTGTAACATTTACAGAACAGATATCCTCTGTTCTGGTAACCATTATGTAATTTATAGGTAATGTTTAGGTCAAATTATCACGTATTATATACAGCAACATTATGTTATATATATGTAACAAAATGACGTAACAAATAACTAATATTTAAACATAAAATTACAAAACTATAACAGAACAATCTTTCTTCAGTCTAATCATCGATAAATGTATATATTATAATATATATATATATGCATCAATGATTAAAATAAAGAGACTATTCTGCTATAGTTATATAATTATTTATTTAAATTTTAAATATTTGTTACGTCATTTTGTTACATATTATATACAGGATAATGTTGCTATATAATACGTAATTTTGCCTTAAACATACATATCATATCTATATCAGTAATCTTTTTAAGAATCAATAGTTTCATCAACTTTTAGTAAATAAAAATTAATTTTAACAGCGTAAAATTATTGATTGGATGAAATTATTAATGAGCTGTTTTTAATTGATTAAATTAAAAGAATTATATATATATATATATATATATATATATAATCTATATTATTAAGATATTTTTTAAAAATCGTGTATATATATATAAATATAACAATATAATATTGGTTTTTTTAACAATTCTTTATTTTTATAAATTGTTAAAAAATGAATTTTTCAACAAACATTACTAATTAACATTTATAAAACTGTTTTTTTTCAATTCGCAATCATAATGATAAATTATAATATAATTTAAATTATATTACAGATTCTTTTTAACAGAAAACTTTTAATATATATTTATAGCTGTAAATAATAAACAACTGCTAAATAACTGATAATAATAAACAAGCAGAAAATTGCGCTTATATTTTAATACACTTCGCAACAAAATTAGGGTCACAAAATTAGAAAGAATCAAATTCAAATTCATGTATGTTTACAAAAAATGATCGTAGAGCAGTATATCAAAAAGCATTTTCAAGTATGAGACTCCAACTTTCTAATGCTCTAATGGAGATTTCCCTACAAAGATTTACTAAAAGATTTATTGCAAACGGCGCTATTCTACAATGAAAGCCTTACAAAATTGTAGAAAAAACTTTAACTTTGGCGTGCACGAGGAGAAAAAGAATTCATTTTCTATCAATTTTATTAATTGTATTAAAATATAGCATTTCCCTTTCAAAATGCGTTTTTAAATATTACATTATGTGGATTGTGTTTCTCTGAGTTATGATATTTTGAAATGAATAGGCATTTTCAGGCTTATTTTCTAAAAAAAACCCTCGTATTTGTTGTCGATATTGGTATTACCCACAGGAAGATTACAAGGTTGGACTTACACTTCGTGTGTGTATGTGTGTGCAAGTGTGTGTGTGTGTGTGTGTGAGATGTATGTGTGTGGGGGGAAGGGTACGTGTGAATAAGTGTGGGATATGTGTGCGTGTATGGAATGTGTGAGTGTGTGTGGAGTGTGTAGAGTATGGGTGTGTAAGGTGTGTGTGGGGTACGTGTGAGCATGTGTGAGCTGTGTGTGAGCGTGTATGGGTGTGTGTGTGTGGGATGTGTGTATGGGTGTGTGTGTGTGTGTGTGTGTGTGTGTGTGTGGAGTGTGGGGGAGAAGGGTATATGTGAGCATGTGTGGGATGTGTGTGTGTATGGAATGTGTGAGTATGTGTGGAGTGTGTGTAGAGTATGGGTGTGTGTAAGCGTGTGTGGGGTACGTGTGAGCATGTGTGCGATGTGTGTGAACGTGTATGGGTGTGTGCGGGGTGTATATATGTGTGAAAAGTATGTGTACATAAGGAGGTGTATGTGTGAGAAGTGTGTGTGGGGGGGGGGCATGTGTGTGTGTGTGTGTGTGTATGAGTGCGTATAGGGTATGTGTGATGTGCATGGTGTGTGCGGAGGTGTGTAATGTATAAGTGTGGATGTATAAATGTGTAGTATATATATATATATATATAATTTATATGTGGGGGAAGGTGTTTTTAAGAATGTGTGTAAGTATGTATATAATGTGTGTCTGTCATACACATCCCACACACACATACTGACCTCATTCATATATATTCCATACACACTCACACATATCCGATACACACTTCACACACATACATTCCATACACACTCATACTTCATACACACTCACTCCATACACTCACACACATCCCATACACACATACTGATCTCATTTATACCCATTCCATACACACTCACTTTATACACTCACACATTCCACACACATACTGATCTCATTCATACACATTCCATACATACTCACACATATCTGATACACACTCCATACACAGTCACACTTCATATACACACTCACACACACCCCACACATGCACACACCATCACACTCATACATACCCCATACATACCTTATTCATATATACACATTCCACACACACACTCACACATACACATACACTCGCGCGCACCCTATACAAACACACATATCCTATACACATTCCACATACTCACACACACTCCACACACATTCACACACTTCATACACGCTCACACACATCCCACACATACTCACTCATACCCTTTCCACACACACACACACATCTTACACACATACACACACACACACACACATGTACACACACAAAGTGTAAGTCCAACCTTGTAACTTTCCTGTGGGTATTACCAATACCGACAACAAATATGAAGTTTTTTAAAAAGGCCTGAAAATGCTGTTTATTTCAAAACATCAAAACACAATTCGTAACGCAATGTTTATAAAAATGCATTTAAAAAAAAAATACTATATTTTAATACCATTAATAAAGTTGATAAAAAATTTGTTCTTTCCGTAATCGCCTATCAATGTTAAAGTTTTTTTTTCTACAATTATATAAGGCTTATTTTAAAGTAGTTTATAGTAAAATCTGTGTAAAGAAATTCCGTTAAAAAATCTCCATTGAAAACTTTGAGTTTTCTAGTTTTAAAATGCTTTTAAATATCAGACTATGATAATTTTCTAATTTTGTTGCGAAGTGTAGTATTACACTTGTAATAATCGTTAATAACATAAATTAATTAAATTTAAATAAAAACATAAATTTATAATAATAATTATTATAAAATTAACTCTTACGATACACACGAGTATTCGCGACTTCATTTTTGGTTTTAACACTATATATACATTAGTATAAAGTAAATTTTCTATAGACTTTTCATATAAAAACTATATAATTCTCACATCAATAAACTTTTCATCAATACACTCATCCAAATTATACTTTTGAGATTCATGTGTAATTCATTAATAATTTGTCGAAAATACATGAGTGTGTATCGTTAGAGTTTAATTTAAACAAAAATATATTAAATTTAATTTAAACAAAAATGTAAACATAATTCAAATTGCATGGAGAAAATACGGTTATACTTTTTGTAATTCAAAAAAATTGAAACAAAATTGTTATTCAAAAGTATCAATAAATGATGCTTACTAAGTCTGCTAATTCTCTTAAAAGAAATATTTAATTCAAGTAATGACGTTATATATATATATATATAAGAACTCATAATGAAAAGAAACAGTGCAGACTATATGAATTTAGAACACAAAAATCTAAAAACTTAAGTATTAATTATTCAATAAAAAAATTAGGAAAAGAAAATATTTTTGTTATATTAATAGACTCTAGCCACTATAGAAAAAAATTATAATGAAAATAAATCATAAGCATCTGAAACATTTAAATGACTTGCGGATTTATTTCTTCGAAATCTTTTTGTCTGCTAAGCCTCTGACCACCTTGGCGAAACCATTCTTTTGTGACCTCTTCAAATTCTTTGTTTGTGAATTGATGTTGACCGGAAATTGTTGCTGAAATATTACAATACATTAAATTAAATTTTATTTTATAAACTTGTTTAAAAAATAAATATAAAAATATATTTTACCTAGTATTCCCATTAATATATACTTTAAGCTACTAATTTTAAAATGATTTCGCAATCCTTTCCAAGATGATTCTTTGGCAACTTCATTGGAAAATAAAGTTCGGTATATGCGAATTAAATTTTCCTTGGCGGACCTTCCGCCTATGCGAGATATATACAGCATCTTTAGAAATAAAACATACCGATAATACAGTTTCTATTGTTCTATTTAGATGAAATTTGCATTTAAATAAGCTAAATTAAACTTACAAATTTGTTGTACTCATCTACATTTTCTGATAAACGGTTTTCAAAAGCTGTTACTTCATTTATATTTTTAAATGGAAAAAATTGATGTATATTTGATGTATCCGTGACAGATGCTTTGGATTTATGTTGATTATTTTGTTTTTCTATATTTGTTAAATGAACATTTAGATCTTGTATTCCTAATGTAACTGTAGTTATAGCTGTATATATATTTTTAAAATGACCTGAAAAATTAATAGTATTGAATAAACAGTGCCAAAAATAGATATAAAGTATATTATAAGACAATAAGATTATAAGACAAAAATAAATACAATACCTTCCATTTTTTCGAATCCATCTGATATTAACGTATGTACATCCTGTATACCTAAAAATTAACATTAAAGAAATATTAGATTATTCACATAATAAACAATAATAACTGTAATAACTGTAATGAAAAAAACTTATATTATGAAAATAATATAAGTAAATTGATTAAAGAATTTTAAAATAAAAATTACTTTTAAGTGGTACTAAAGTTCCATCAAGAATCTCCAGGTCAATATCATTGCTGACAACTGATGAATTAATAACAGTTGCGATAGATTGACTTTTGTTAACTGATTGCGAGGCATTTGTATTTACAGTAAGATTTGGTGGATTTGGTATAACTAAACGTGAGTCATCAGAATCAGATTCAGACTCATTGTGAGAAACAGTTTTATTCAACTGTCTTGTGCGTGACTTCTTTATTTCATTTATATTGCTTTCCTCACTTGAAGAATAGTTCGTTGCTCTCTGTCTAGCTTCCTCTAATGAATCTAAATTGAGACAAAATCGTATTTAGAAATTACATTATTTTTTAAAAATTAAAAAAACAATTACATAAATTCTAAAATAAAATATAACTTACCATAATATCCATGAAATTTAATGGGATAAGATTCCCATTTAGGATCATTAATAACAGGTGGAATTTGTTTTATAATAAAGGTATTTACATTTTTTACCAATGGCCACCAGCATTCTTTTAAATTGAAAGAAAGCCATAAAGATGGAACTTCTGATACAATTTCTTCTTCATTATTTCCATCGCTTGGAAAAGTAACGACAGCGAAATTTTTCGCCATTATTATAATCTGTTAAAAAAGTAAAATTTGTTAAGTAATTTAATATTTAATATTGTTTTCAATTATAGATTATATCAATATATAAGTACTCGCCATTAACATATTTCTTGTTGGTGTAGTAAAGGCAATACTACAGCTTCTTCGTCACATAAAGGCAATTTTACGCATTTTAATTTAATATCAAACAATGGAATAGTAATTAACTCATATTGTAACTCGTTAATTTGTTTAATACCGATATTGAAAGAGTCGCATGGAATGTGGAAAAATGATTTAATATTCAAATACTTTTTAGCAGTAACATAAATCTGTTTATTTTTAAAATAATTTTCGTAAGCGAAACCGTTGTACCATCTAATAAAGAACAACAATTATCAGCAGTTCTTGTACTAAGATAGAAACCCTTGCATTGAACCGATTTTATTATCTTTCTGCCATTTATAATACGTACTTTTGATATTGGATAAATCTTTTCTACATTTGTTATATCCAAATTATCTTCTTCTATACAACGATTGGCTAATTGTTCTAATGGTTGACTTGAAGATCTTATCTTTGATTTAATTTTTTGCATGTAATTTTCGAACTTAAACGCGCTAAATTCATCTAACACTCCCCATAATTTTACATAATAACACAGATGAATTAAATTATGAACGTTATATGATATATATTGACAACCATATAATGTGCCATAATTTTCAACAAAATACAATAGTAAATTGTGTGCATAATCAAGCAGTTGTACGCAATATTTTTTGCTACATAAAATTCGAATTGCTATACTTAGACTCAAAAAATGAACATATTTATCGCGTGGTAATTTTTTCAAAAAAATTACTGGCCCAGTATATAATAATAATTGTCTTAATTCGGTGGCTTTAAAGCGATCGACCTCATCTAATTTCCTTGGTTTTCTAGCAAATTCTTTGGTAAGAATGATGACATAGATAATAAAGAAGTTGAAGCAAGAGTTATCTGAGTTGCAACCATACGAACATTATGTTTGCCTTTAATCCAAACTGCAATAATCTTTTCATTATTCCTAATAGTACGAGATGCATGTAGTCTAAAGGAAATTGAGTAACCATTCCAATGTTTAAGTCTTCAAGATTTGAAGTCATTTTGGTGGTTTCTTCTTGTTGTTTTTAATTTAAATGATTCATCTGACCTTAATATTGCATTAATTTCTGGGTACGTTACTCGATTTTCTACGTAATCTCCCTCTTGAATACAATTACCGCATCCAAAATACGCATTATGTCCTCTAGTTCCCTTGATAAATGATTTTGCAGGAGCATCGCAGATAAATGCATTCAATTTTACAGTTATTTTTTTGCCATACTGTACAATACCAGTTCGAAAAATTTCAAGACAATCATCCTTGAAATATTTCAGAAAAGTATTGCAACATTTTGGCTTTTGAAAACCATGATAAACACCAATTATAAACGGTTCAGTGTAAAAATCTGCAACTATACTACCTAAAATAGGCCAAAATTGACTGCCAGAAGATTTTGTTAAAGGAAGACCATCTATATTCACATTAATATTTATTTGAGATGGTAAATTACTTTGACAATAATGCTTACGAATAGATTTTCTTAAACTATCACTTAAACCTGCATGATAATATTTGCCTGGTGTCATTTCAATAATGTCTACTTGCTTGGGAGTTTGGAACAGAGTTCGAGCATCAAGAGGAAGATTATGGCCATATTTTACTAGAATTTTCAGTAAACTACTAGTAGCAGAATGACTGACATGATTTTCAATAGCCCATAATCGGATGTCGTTAATAATATCTGTTTTATTAGAAAATTCATCACTTGAAATACTTGAATGAGAACTATTATTATCAGTACCAATTCTCAAATGTTTGAAAATTAAATCATCTTCATTTTCAGTAATCTTGTGAGTATGCATTACATTGGAATAATTAAAATTAATTTCCTTTAGTACATTTTGGTTGTTGAGGTAATTGTTTCGATATTTTTCTGGTCCATTTGATCCACTTATATTATTTTGAACTTCCAATTTGATTCAATATTCCTTTGCAAATATTTCTGAATTTTTTTAAA